TTAAAAGAAATATAAAAACTAAATTTTTATTAAAATAATTAGCTCTAATATTGTATTTTTATATATCTTCCTTCTTTCACATTCAACTCACCTTATAGCCTAGATATGTTAGAACCAAAGATTGAGTTAACGACACCATGGCTAGAAGTAATTGTAGCACCCAGAGGACAGTGGGTCGATTCACCCAGAGTATTGCATCCCAGTTAATAATTGGATTCTCCTGGAACTCCTCCTCCGTCAGCTTGGCAGAGATGATAAACTCTGTCTTATTGGCCACTTCGCAGCCATAGCTGAAGCAAAAAGAGGTTATGAGAAATGCTTGGCAATAAATCTGATTTGTTATTTGGCCGTTGGCCAGTGGCTTACCATGTTATAAATGTTGGATTTTTATCCAATATCACACGTATTATGTAGAGAACACACGACAGTAACTTAAGGAATAAATCGGCAATTCGTATGCGTAAGCCTTGAAAGAGAAAGTAGCACAGAAATAGAAACACACACACACGCACAAAAAATGAAACGAAATTTGGGTCAAATAGCCAAATAGTATAGATAGGTGCGTTTACTTCGGCTGCGACGTGGCTTGGTCAGCCAACAACTACAACAACAACAACAACATGAATAGCAGAGAGAAAACAAAAATAAACCCAACTGCCAGCTTTTTGACTGTTTACCAATCTACCTGTTTACCTGGCCGACCTGTTTACCTGCACAATTATTTCCTAACCAAATCAATATTTACTCAAGTATATTGCGTCTGCCACTACATAGGTAATTCGCCTTTTTTTATGTTGTTGTTGTGTTTGTTGCTTTTTCTTCTGCTTCTTCTTCTGCTTCTTGCGGCTGTTTTTCCAATTGATTTAATTGTTTGTGCGGCCTACGAAAACTTTAATCGCTTTGCCATAAGTTTATTTACATTCGTGAATTCTATGTCGGCCAGTCGGTCAGACTGTCTGGCCAGAGTTGAGTACAGTGGGCACTCGTTTAAGTAGACTTGCGTGAAAGTAAAGTATACTTGAGATATTTGGGAATATGTGAGCCTGGAATTATTATTAAATCACTTGAGTAAACAAAAACAAAAGCTATTGCAAATTTAAAGCTTAAGCAAACGAAATATTTAATTGTTTTTATATGTAAATCATTTTTTACATAAAATTTTCTAAAATATATAAAAAATAGTAATTCTAAACATATTAAAATAATGTGAAATCTCTTCATAAAGAATAGTAAAATTTGTCTACAGTAGAAAGTTGATCTTAGTTTGGTTTTACTGTGCTCCACTAACTTGCTAAGCAAATCACGTAGTAAATCAAATTTGTTTGCTATAAAGAGGATACTCTATCCCTTTCTATCTCTACCCACCTAACCCTAGCAACTTTTTCATTTCCATTACAAATACTTACTTGAACGCTGATTCTTAATGAAATAGAGTTGCAGTCTTTCTTTGAATGTGTTTTCATTCACATAGTACTCCACGCGCACTCTGCAAAGACAACAAAAAATGGAAGGGAAAAATTGTATTAAAATATGATTGAATTCGTTAAGCCTATTAGGCAATGCAAAGCGCATTTCAGTGCTAAACAAATTAGTATATTGTGAAAAGAAAAGAATTGCGTTTGGCGATAAAAATGACAATTGAGCTGATGATGATGCTGCACTTGGCAATTTAATGCGCTTACTGATCACATTATACGGAGCACAAAGTGACACCGCCCGCAGCTTGCGTTGCCCATGGCAGCCATTCCCGTGCCTCGCCACTTTCCACTTGCCACAACAGTCGCTCATGGCATTTTCCATTAAGCAGTGCAGCGCAACGTGTGCCCGACAAGTACATATTAAATTGTCAGTGTATAGACTTTTCTCTCTATCATTCTCAGTCTCTCTTTCTCTCTCTCTCTCTGTCTCTTGACAGCAGCCACGAGCAGCGCCAACAAAAGCTGCAATTGCATTGTAAATGAACTTCCAATTGCACTTGCTGCTCTTGTCTAGGCGGATTAATCCTGAAAAGTTTCAATTGTAGTTGAGCTGATATCCGAAAGCTGCTTTTAACAGCATTAAAGACTAGCTAATGTTGTGGCCAATACTTAAGGCATTAACAAGTCGAAATTCAGCTTTGCCAAGGGCTAATAGCTTGATGTTGGCTATAAGTACTAAAGACACTTCAGAAAAGAATTAAATAGATATTTGAATTAAATTGATTCAAAAAAAA